TATTGTATATTTTTTCACAGGAACAACTCTGAACTTACTTTTGCCCACCCCTGTAAACAATTTAATGGGGAAGTAGACATGTTCGTCACAAGTGATTAGCTAAGTAGTCATTTTGTTTGGTAATTTAATACCCAGCCTTGTGTCCTATTTTACTTTATTAACATACAAATATCATCACCAGATTTAAATTACTAAGTAAATGACTTCCTATATTATAGAGACATCCAGTACATTCATGATACAGAAACAGAACTCTCAGTAAGAAAAAGTAGAAACTACAGGAAATATTAAAACCATTTTCCAGTGGCCTAACCATGTGTTATTGTAAAACTTATAGAACACTGTGGTTTGTTGACTTGGTTACAAAGGCATACATGGGACTAAGACTAAACGCCTGGTGTGACTGAACATAACTTTAAGAACTTTAGTAGGTCATAATCCTTTATTGAATGATATTTGAGAAAATATGAATAAAATAAACTGTAAGATATGAAAGAACTTTTCCCCTTAAATACAGGGTTGGCAAAAGTAGGTTTATAGTTATGACTATGCAAAAGAGTTTATTCTTTTATTCTTATATTATTATTAATTATTGTATTATTTTTCACATGCACTGTAAACCTACGTTTGCCCACCCCTGTAAAACTTCACAGTGAGTGTGAGAGACGGCATTTGTAGGAGACACAGATGGAAAGACTGATTTGAACTGGTGTTTAAAACGCTTATCTGATCAGAGTGGTGAAAAGAGAGGACAAACTGAAGTCGGCAGAATTTAAGGTTTAAGCTTGATGCCCTTGGCTAAAACTACCACTTCTGAAGTTTAGTTTCTTTGTCTGTAAAATGGGAATAACAGGTGCTCATTTTCCTACACTGGCTAGGTGTGGCGATCAAGAAATAGTAAGACACATGAAATTTCTTTTAAAGAGCCATAAAAATGTAAATTATAGTTTCTACTACATGCAAAAAATTTAAATTTGCCAGTTGTGCTTTTTATAAACATTGGTAGTTTTGAAAGGCATTTCTTGTGAAATAAAGTTAAAGTTTGAGTGATTTAGGAAACAATTTCTTGCTTTTTTGAAATATAATATACCATATTTTTCAGACTATAAGATGTTTTCTTCCCTTCTCTTCCCCCCAGATTTGGGAGGAATAATGGTTGTTAATGCTGCTGGTGAGTTCTGTTTACATTTACATTGGTGAAATATTATGTTACTTATGTTATTAAATATTTTATCACATTTTTTCCTTAAAAAATTTTTTTCCTATTTTCCATCTCTAAAACCTAGGTGCATCTTATGGTCTGAAAATATGGTAATACATATAATAACCAGCCCCTTAATTTTTTCTATACATGAAATTAACATTCTTTTGCAAATGTATCTGTGGGGGCATCTTGAAAATTGTGTGTTACCTGTTAATAGTAAAAGAATCGAGCTGTTTTATACTTTATTTTCGAGTTATAACTAGTTCACTGGAAGATCAATGTTGAAAAAAATTACTCAGTTGAAAATTGTTTCCTAATTTGAAACAAATTGCATTAGAGTTATAAAGAGAAATGGAACTCAACTATAGATAAAAGTGAAAGCCCCACTAACAGAGAATTTATTAGGTTATTTGTGTAGTACTTCCAGCCTATGTGTTATTTTTCTGACTCTGCAAGTGGCTTATCGCAAAATACATGTTACATGAACAACGTCACCCCACTGCTGTTCTTGTTTAACAAACATGCTGCTCTAACATTGTTCTGAAACACTTCTCTGGAATGCTGGTCCTGGGAGACACTGAGGTCAAAGACAGGCAAAGCATGTGTTTCTTAGATATATAGATATATCCTAAATGAATGTTAACCGAACTTTGCAAATGAGTTCATTTAAAAAATGTTTTTAAATTCACTCTTCTTATGTCAGTCATGTTACAGGTGAATAATTATATCCTAACTTATACTTCTGTTATACATTTCACATATTATGGACTTTTTTGAAGTAATTTATACATGACAAATATTGAACACAATGAACTTTCTAAAATAATATCAAGTTCTCATTGGTTTCTTTCTTTCCAAATATTTTTTCCTAGTAATTTCTTATCATTCATTTATTTATCAAATATGTGCTTAGCCTTTATTATATGCCAGATACTACTTAGGCACTAAAACACCATCATAATAAATTAGATCATTTTGCTCTCAAGGAACTCAATGACTAAAAATATAACCACGAGCTTGTGAAATAAGAATGAACATAATATGAAATAAGATATTATTCACAAACAGATAAGGACAATGCATGTGTACATATGTATAATACCAACAGAAGAAATAATGGTGATAAGATCATCTTAATGTGGAAAAAAGTAAAATTACTAGAAAGCACATAAACATGTGCCAGCCTGAGAGGGTCAGCAAATGAAGGGGATGACATGTGATCACTGGATAAATAAAGGACTCGTACGGGAGGGAAAGCGTAGGTGGCTGAAAGGCGGCTAGGAGCAGTCTGAGAAATCCGTGTGGGAAGTAAGAAGGGAAAAAAAACTGCAAGCTATGCTCACCAATTACTTGTTTGATGAAATAACACCTGGGAGACAAACTGGAGATTTCAGTTTTTCTAGAGTAACAGCTCAAATTTTGAAATCGCAGAACTTTCACTGCTTTAACTTACCAGTTATTAAAATCTCTTTGCATTTTTTATGGAAAAAAATAAATACATCTATCAAAAATGTGATTGTCACCCAGGCCGGGTGCTCAGTAGGTTAGAGCGTCATCGTGCTAGGCCAAGGTTGTGGGTTTGATTCTCTGTGAGGGCACATATGAGAATCAACCAGTGAACGCACAAATAAGTGGAACAACACATTGGTGTTTCTCTCTCTCCCTCCCTCTTCTCTCTTCTCTCTAAAATCAGTAAATAATTTCTCAACTGTAATTGTCATTCTCAGAGCCATCTTCGATCAAGTAGTTGTTTTAGGTTGTGATTAGAGTTCTCGTTTAATTAGAAATCAAGTCTCAATTTTAATTGAAATAATATTCAAATTACATAATCCAAGACAATAGCTCTAATCAAGTCAACATTATATCATGGATATATTTATAAACAGACTTCCTTCATGGTTTTCTTACTTGAATTATTTTGGGGGTGTGATCTTGTTTATCAGAGTTCAGAGTTGTCAGTAAACTTTTAAGAATTTTTCTCATTAACAAAAATGCTATATCACCTTGGCAGAAGTATTAGAATGATTCATTTTTCAAAAGTATTTCTAACTTAAAACTAATCATTTAGAAAAATGCTGGTAGAGATGGAGATGTGTATTTGTTTGACCAAAACAAAAATTGAGCCCCAAATATTAATAATTTGAAGAAAGTATGCTAAGGTGTCAAGCCACAATGTTTATAATATATTCATAAATATAGAAAAAAAAGTCTATACATCTGTTATTCCAAACATGCAATTTGAGCACCTATGAAGGTACTCAGGATCTTATGATACAGATCAGCCCCAAAATTGCCATTTTGACTGTTGTTCTTTAGCTGAAGTTTCATATTTCCAAAAGGGTATAGATGCCCAATCTGGGCTCTCTATATATATATATATGTAATATTTAACATGTAATTATATATAATTATATAAATAAATCACAGGCATAATTATATAAATAAATTATTTATATATTATAATATAGAAAATAAATGTAATATGTAATTATAATATATTTGTATATACAATTTCAAAATGTGAATTGATAGTGCTTTTAATAGTATTTTGTCATGTGAACTCATTAAAATTAGATTATTGACCTAGCAGATTATATTAGTTCCTTCAAGTCCTTAAGGTCGGTTCTTTGATATGCTATTAAGGACTTTTTAAAATGATGACTAATAGCCCAAAACAATGGTAGAACTAAGAAACAGGTACTACATGGGAACAAAAATTGACCTAACTATGTATGGGTTATACATTTTCAACAAGGGTGATATTACCCCATAAGGTGGTGAAAATTGAGGAAGTGAAAAACGCCTTTCTTTACCTATAAATCACAGGTACATACAGCACATTAACAGATATACAGTATATTTGTAGTATTAAAACTTCAAGACAATAGAGATCAATTAGAAAATAATGTCTAACAAGCTGCTTAGAAAAAAACATGAAAAAAACTGTTGAGAAATGTAGCTCTAGGCAAACATGTCTTAGCAAATTCTACTCTAAGTTAAATAAATCCAAGACTTCTTTTATTTCCTTTCATTGTTGTGAGGTGATGAGAATCACTCATAGGAATACATTAAACACATCCCCCAAAATAAGTTCCGAAATGCTTGTTGATCGCTCACAGTACCATGGCGAAAAATTACTAAGTGTATTTCAATTAAGGAATTGTTCACAGTCACAAGAGAAGAAATGCTTTATGATTTTATCTCTGTTTTTAAAGCATGCACACACATAATAATGGCAAAGCTTCACCTGACACCCATCAAACCCACTGGTACCAGAAACCGGATGCAGTTTTCTGAGGTAGTAAGATTCACTCCATTCATAACAGACCTGTTCGGCTTTGGATTCATTACGAGCCCCCAAAATGAATGCATGAGAAACGAACCACAGTGAAAGAATATTTCTTTCATAACCCAAATAAGTAAAGTAGGTATCTGAAGTCATATGAGAAACAAGCAGGATTACTTCAATTGTTTTAACACTAAATATTCAAAATTTCTCTAATTCTATTCCAGCAAATATATTCTATGCTGAAAACAAATCCCAATCATTTAACTAATTAGAGAATATATACGGGGGGAAAATTTCTTAGGTGTAACTTTTAAACTATTTTTAAAGGTCAACATTATACTTAATACCAGAACATTAGACCAACCATCATTAAAACCAGAATAGGATATCTGCTAAAATCATCGATTTATCAAATTCTGTTGCAACTTCTGTTCAATATGAAATATGAAATCTAAATTAAGAGCATATTTATAGGAAAAGACCCTGTCCTTTTTTTATTTATGCTAGATACTCTTAAGAACCAGAGATGCCAAGCAGGAACTGCCTGAATCTACCCTCAGCTAAGAAGAAAAGTAAGTATTAACAAATTATTGTACAAATAATCAATGAGTTACAATTATAATAGATGTAAAGGGTACCAGCTGCTATGTCATCAAGTAATAGAGAAACTAACCTGGAGGAATAAGAAAAGGTTCCTGGGGGCGAAAGTAGATATGACTGATGGCTTGCACTCAGCTAGACAAATAAAACAAGAAAATGCAAAAGGCACAAGAAGAGAAATGTGACACTGAGGGGAACCAGGCCTTCAAGAAACTGCAAAAGACAATGTGTCTGGACCACAATGAGTAAGGGAAATGTGTGTATAGAAGAGGACAAGTGACAAATCACAAAGGGCTTTGTCAAGCATGTTATAAATTTTGAACTTTATCTTAAGGGTCCTAAGTACAGAAGTAAAAGTTATCAAGTATTCATTTTTAGAAACACACTTCAGCAATTGTATGGAGAACTGATTACAGTCAGGAAATTTTGGATGAGCAAAAAATTGCAATGGTTCAGAGGAAATAAAGGATATGGAGATGGAGAACAATGTTCAGATTTGAAAGACAATTAGGAATTAACCAAACAGGATTTTACAACTCATTGGATTGAATATGAGTAGAGATGGATATAAGAAAGACATCAAGCATGATTCCCAAGATTCTGGCTTGAACAGCTGGGAAGAGAGCAGAGCAAGCTGTGGCATGGGGACACGCTGTCATGAATTCCTTCACTGCCTTCAGAATTAAACAGCAGCTGTTCTGAGAGGCCACACAGAAAACCAGCAGGACGATGGTGTTTTCCTTTGCCTTCATAGGCAGCAGTAACAGGAAGATGGTGAAAATGTCTTAGGTATCGAGAAAAGAAGCCATACCAAGTCTAATATTAGATACGTGTATCTAGCGCCTATCTAAGCAGCTTCCACAAACACTAAGAAGAAACCAGTCCAGGACTAATGGAATAGCCATATTTTCAGAATGTTCTGCCTACATTATGAGAACAGAATTCCAACAGGATACAGAGGAGGATGGAAAATTAGTAGCCAATATTTTCAGAGTGGAGAGACGAAAAGTTTATATGCCTCTGAGTGGGAATATAAAGTAATTTGACAATATGTGTAAGTATTCCTGTGACAGATATTGGTCGTTTTCCCCCAACATTTATCTTGCTATATTCCTCTCTGTATTGAAGAGGGCTGGAAGCTTAGGTACTACATTTTTAAGAGTCCCTTGCCAGATGGTTTCTGGTCAGATTCTGTCCATGAAGTGTGGCAACTACAAAGATGTATGCTTAGATCTTCTGCCAAAGGATTCTGTAAAGAACAAAGTTGACTGACGGTCTCCTTTGGACCCATCACAGGCTCCCACCACGGCCAGCCCTTCCCCCTGCGGCCGCCAGTCAGTGATGGAGCATGGCAGCAACACTGCAGCCTGGCCTTTTTTGCCCATTATGGGATTCTCTCCAATGGGCAACCTTTGTTCAAGGGCTCCAGACTTGCTTGGCCAAGACTTTTTCAAAACTGTACTGAAATGTTAGACTCTTCCTACTCAGCCCTCCTTTGTTCCTACTTTTTCTTCTTATGGGTGTCAGAGCTTCCTTATGGTCTGAAGGCTCGCCCCACCTGCGGTTGCTCCCTCCCGCTTTGTACTTCAAAAGTGTTCTTCCCCAACATTTCTTGCATTTTATTTCCTCTTGGAGTCTGCTTCTAGGAAGAAGACCATCCACTTGTTCTGGCTTCAGAAGTTCAAAGAGAGGATGATGTGGGTGCCTGTAGGCTTTAGCAGTTAGCAGAGAGTCTGTAGCCCCTAGAGCTCTTGTAATTTCAAAGACTTGATTCCACACTCCTGCTCAGTGCAGGTGGAAATGGTGCTTCTGCAAACTCAGCAGCAAACACAATGAGGATGGCTGGGTACCAATGCTTTTCTTTTTGCTCTTCCAGGTCCAGGCACAATGATAGCTGTCTGTAGTCACCAGTGTCTGGCGCAGTATCACCATTCCCTGTTTCCTCCCCCAGCCCTTGTAACACTTTTATAGGCAATTCCCTAAACTGCCCTAGTGTGATTTGCTTTTTCCTGAGTGAATGATGAACAACACAAATTTTACCTTTTCAATCTTTTTGGCCTCAAATATTCTCATTTTCTTTGAGCATATAAATAAATTGAATATGAACAGAATGTATTGATAAATGTAATTAATATTAAATATAAACAAAAACTATTGCCCAAATGTTTTCATATTAGTATTAAAATAGAAAATAATCTCAAAACATCTCACAACAAAAAATTTTAAAAGTCATTTAGGGTGTGTTACTATAATGTTTTTTCATGTTCCAATTCAAATGTGTTTATGGATAGTTTGTAGATATAGTATAAGTAATAACATCATTTACAGCTAATTATACTGCTAAATGGGGGGGAAATTAAAGTTGAATATGTACTTAACATATGACCCATAAAATTTCATTCTTAAAATATACCTTGGGGAGATTTTATGCACACAAATGAAAATATATGTACAATAATGTCCACAGCAACACTGTCAATCACAATGAACAACTGGAAAGGCCCAAACTTTCAACAAGTGAGAAATATATCACAGTATGTCCATACAATGGAATCCTATGTCACAAAATGGATGAATCTCAAGAGAAGATGTTGATGGTAAGAAGCAAATCACACTGAAAAAATGCCCATAGTAGAATTCTACTTTTACCAAATCTTTTAAAAAGACAAAACAATTATCTGCTGTTTAAGAGAGCAAGTCAGGAAAGGGAACCTCTAAGGGAGGAGGGGCTGTAATCAGCAGAAGCATAAAGAGCTTTGAGGGGCTGATAATATTGTATTTCTTGCTCCGGTTGTTAGTTGCACAGTAGTTTGCCATACAATCATTCTTTTGAGCATGCATGGGTTTCATGACTATCCTGTAAGCATGAGATATCTTAAAACAAAGAAGAGAAGAAAAAAATCAAAATGTGGAAGGATAAACTCCAGGAAACAAGAAACTTTATCTGCATAACTTAAAGCAGAATCACCAGCTCAGAGCAGCACCGTCTCTCTCACACACCTAGTCTTTCTCAATAAATGTATGAATAATTAAATAAGCGAACAAACACCAAGATCCCTAATATGCTTAATATGCTCATAAATTAAAACAGAGAAAAATATACTCAAATGCCATCTTATTACAGTGTGGAAAAATTATGGGTGACTTGATTTCTCCTTAATATTTTTCTTTCTTATCAAAGTGCTTAAATAAACAAGTATTACTTTGAAAATTAAATAAAATGTGTTATAAAATATGTTGTTAAAAGTCCAAAAATAAGCGAGCTTATATTATTGCTATTTTGCTTTCTCTTGGGCCATTAATCTGACTGTTTTCATTAAAAAGGTGCCTAAAACAGTGTAAATTATAAATCAGGATTTTTTAAACTTTGATGTACATCACAGTCAGCTACAACGCAGCCCAAGAGAACCTAGTAATACCCCAGCTTAATTAGATCAGAGAATTTTAACTGTAAGCAAACCAGCATTCTGAATATGGGCCCATGGATCTGCCCCAGCCCCTCTCCCGGTCCGTCTTGTTTTCTGACCCCCAGTGACTTCTAACACCAGAGTATTCTGTCTCCCTAACTCCCACTCCCCATTCAGACCTCAGCTCAACTGTCCCTTCCCTAGAAGAGACTTCCTGACACCTCTCCATCCATGTTACAGTTTATATATTCTTATCTTGAAATTTCCTTTTTACAGCATTTGAATACCATTAAGGAGTGAACATTTGTCTGATTACCAGGTTACTGTGTTTCCTTCCCAACCATACTGTATGCGCCACAGCACATGGACTGTGTTGGTTTGGTCACTTTAACATCTCCGGAACTGGGCCTGACCCCCAACACTTAACAGATAGTTTATATTTTGTTTACTCAGTAGTTGGTTGGATAAATGAATAAAGTATTAAATGAACCAACAGGCAAATAGAGAGTTATGAAAAAAATTTAAATGGCTGCTCTCTTATCTAGGCTTTGAACTAAAAATCACCTTGATTTTGAATTTTCTCTGGAAAAAAAAATTCCATTTAATCAAAAGTTGTAAGTTAGATTAGTAATTTACCTTGTATGAAAATGAGGAGGACATATATTCAGTCTCAGCTAATCAAAATAAGGGTTTTTTTTCCTCTTTGTGTAGAACTCTCACCTGTTCATGTCTTACACACTAAATACAGATCCTTTTCCAACCCAAATATCCAATGATGGCTGCTAATTTTTAGATTTAATTTGGATATGATGGGTAAAGGAAGAAAAGGCAAGAAAACATATCAACCTTCTAAGATTAATGACAGTATTATTCTATTGAGAACTTGGAGTCCTAAACTGAACTGTTTCTTCTCTGACCCCCAGAATCTGAAGCTGTACCTGATATAATTGCTTCCAAGGCAGAAATACTGCCTCTCCTTTCTGACCAGCTGTCACACTGCTCTGAGTTAATTGACATACGTCCAAAATGCCTGGCTCAACACAACTGTGAGAATTCGGGGCCAAATTTCTATGGTGTTGTGTTTGAACAGTAAACTAATTTATCTGGGTAGGGAATTTTTAGCTCCTAAAGCTCAGAAGATTCTATTAAAGAGGTGACATTTTCTGGTTTTTAGATGTATTATTTTTCCAATCCAAATGCTCTAGATTTCTACAAGTGTTTCTACATCATGTTTAAAAATCTGAATAACACAATTCTGCACTGGGTTGCTCTCAAGAGCACAATGCTGATGCACGAGTGTTTTGAAGAGCTGTTTATTTCCTTCCTTCATCTCCCACATTCACTGGTTCTGTAATGAGCTAATCTCTTACCTCTCATCCTTACATGCTCTGTTCTGTTCATACCACCCTTCTCGCCATTTCTCATTGTCTGCAAGAATGCTCCTACTTGAAAGCATTCATACTTCTTGCTGCTCTGCCTGGACCATCCTTCTCCCAAATATATTTATGGTGAGCTCAACCGAAAACTTTATGTCTTACCCAAAGTCTTTATTCAAAATTACAATCCCTCTTGAACATTTCTTATCCCTCTTTATTCCTTCATTTTTTCCCACAGCATATATACTGTAAAACTGATTTTTCTCTTTGGCATCTATCTTCACACCTCTAGGACCAAAACACCATAAAGACAAAAATTTTTGCTTCTTTTATGTTCTACTATACTCTCAGCCCTTATTGTAGATACCTAAAAGTTTTTCCAGTCTAAAATATTTCTGTAAAAACTACCAATAGACCTTCTGAGTCTAGGAGTACTGCTTCCCAGAAAGGGGCTGCTTTTACCAGGAGTAGGAGTGAGGGAGAGCCCTCTAGACAGGAAGAGGCTGCAGCTGCTGCTGGTCACCCCACAGACAGAAAGGAAAAAAGGAGTTAGATATTGATGGGTAAAGGACCCTGATGATCATAAAGAAGAGGGTAGCTACTGTGCACTGGGATGGGGAAGAAGGTGCTGGGCTCGTGAATGATCCATTGGTCATTTCTTGGCATCGCCATGACTAACTATAATTATATATGTGTAAGTACAGTAACCATAGCTAAGAGCAGGATAATCCAGGGACCAGAACCCTCAGTTATGCAGTTGGTATAAAACACCAGGCAAGCCTCCTCAGTAAGCAGAGGTGTGCTAGCTGAAGGAAGGGGAGTCAAAAGGGCTAGGGATGTGGACAGATGATGAGTATTAGAATGGTCCTCATACAACTGCACTAGTGGGGACCCCACTTTTCCTCAGGTACATTGTTTCTGAAATTACAACCCACCAGAATCTTTCATAAGCTTTGGCTGAATGGAGTGAACTTAAGCGAGAAACAAGCATTTCTGAGGCGCACGAGGAGTAGACTACCATGGAATACAGGCCAGTTCATAACCAGGATCCCCTCAGTCAGCTGTGCACCTTTCCTCCACTTCCTGGGAACATTAGCAGATTAAAACTCACAGCTCCTCCCTTGTTTGGAGACTCACTCTTGCTAAACAGTAGCCACTTGCCCAGGGAGGCTCCCCTGAACCATGGCTAACAGATCCACAGCCAATGATAAATGGACACAAGGGTAGAAGAGGCTTCCAGTCTTACCTCAAGGAGAGACTAGTTCTGTGGAGCAATTCCTATTTCGGAGCCTCCCCAGGACCTGGCCAGGCTGTGTGCCAGCTGAGACTATACTTGTGCTTAGCTTTTGTCTCCTGCTGTGTCCTGCTGCCACGGTCTCTTCCTGAAGGCACTCTTTCAATAAATAACATAAACAAGAACCCCTGACCCGGCTCTGCTCCTAGAGAACCTCACCTAGGGCACATGGCATATGCAAGTCATCTCTGGAAGAATGAATCCTAAGCACAAGCCTTTAAAATTCTCACCAATACAATTACAATACACATTAACTCCTAGAATCTTTAAAAATCACAAACTCTAAAGCAAAGTATTGTGAGTGACATTTGCCTGGAAGAAAATGCAAAAATTTCATAAAATAAAACCAACAAATCAAATTATACATATTTTATATAGTATCTATCATAGTATTATATATGTAATATATATAACAATATTTATATCATGTATAAAAGAGGAAATGAAAACATGAGAACAAAAATATGTCGGTAGCCAACTCAATTTACAAGATAAACTAATTTTAGTGGCATATAATGGATAAAATTAAAATTCATGTGGATTAAAAACAGATTAGTCCCAACAGAACACAGAAATAGTGTGATAGAAAGAAGATCTGGACAAACACCCCAGAAAAAAAGTTCAGAGAGACTTGCAGGTGGAAAATATAAAGGTTGAAATACAGAGAACAGAAAGAGGAAGCTGGCCTACACCTAAGTTCATGAAAGACACCAATCCACAGACTCAGGAACTCAACTAATCCCAAAGAGTATAAATAAGAAGAAAGTCACAACCAGATATATATCATGTTTTATGGAACAAGACTTGATTCCTGCCTCCAGTAATTAGGGAACCTGGGACAGGCGATTTAAACTTTTGTTGCCAACACTTCTGATCTGTGACATAGGTTTAATAATAATAGTACCAACCTTACAGATTGTTATGAGGGCTAAATGAGTTGATATCTGTAAAACTGTTAGAATAAAGCTGTTAGTTTTATTACCAATCTTTATTACTTTTATATGGAATGCTCACACAAAGGTGCTCTGGATCAGAGACAGATTTCTTGTTAATTATTTCACAATTAAAAAAAGGGAAAGCCCTCCCTTGCCCTAAGCCTTACTCATGATGGAAACTAGGCCAGATGTTCTACACAAGTAGCTGAACAGTTTACAGGACTCTGTCAGAGAGTTTTTTCCACTTCCATGCCAGAGACAGAGTCACTCTCCTCCAAAAGGAAAAAACAATCTGCTGCTTCTTTGAGATGGGATGGAAAGGATACTAGGTATCTCTCTGACCTTGGGCAATATGAATACATCTTTCCAAGAACCAGATAACACCCAAGTGCCTTCAAGGCCGGGGCTTCCATACCTAGGCAGTTAGTGCCCCAACCTTTCCAGCACCTTGAGAACGCAACTTAGGGGCCTCATCCAATCTGTAACCAGTTAGCCCTCAGGAGGAGATGAGCTTTATTCTTTTTTTGAACCAAAACAATTAATTACACAAATTACTATAGATCTAACCACATGGTATTTGTGAAGACTCAGGAGGCTGGGGCTTTCCACGACAGCACAGAGGAATCCAGGGGAGTTTCACTTCTGCGCCAGGGCTTCATATGTGTTACTAAGTGTAACTTAAGTGTTTTTTATATAAATAAAAATAAAATTAAGGTAAGAGCAAAGAGTAATGAGGTACAAGAAGATTCAAGTGAGAGAGTCAATAAACACAAAAGTTGGTCCTTCGAAAAGTAATACAATTAACCACCTCTCGGGAGACTAATCGGGAATAAAAGATACAACACAAATGAGCACTCCTCACACAGAAGCAGGAGATGCAACTGCAGAGACAGCCAATGACAGACAGAGCAAGAAAATGCCATGACCAACTCGGGAAGTCCTACCATTTGGAAAACCATTTGGCCTGACCTGGTAAGACGGACTATCTGCACACCCAGTGACCCCGCAGTTTTGCTCCTCAGAATGTGCCCTTGAAAGACCCTCAAACAGTGAGCACCAGGACACAAGTACAAGAACGTTCATGGAAACACTGTTCATAATGAGCAGAAAATAGGACACCTAATGTTTCCGTACCAGAGAACAGACGCATAAATTGAGGTGACTCATACAATAAAATACAGAGCAATAATTTTTTAAATGAACAAACTATAGCTATATGCCATCGACTATAATAAATATCACAAATATACCATTGGACCAAGTCGAAAAATACAATATAATGCTATTGTGTACATTAAATGACAACCCAAATGAAGCAATATGCCATTTTGGAGATATATATGTACATGTCGAGATTTTAAACAAAAGCAAAGAAATTATAATCTAATCACAAAAAAATTAGAATAGTGATTATCTGGTCTAAGGAGGCAAAGAACTGAAAGCAGAGTGGTATGCACTGCCAGTGTAAAGAGTATGAGAAACGTTACATTTCTCAGCTGGGTGGTAAGCACACTAGTGTTCATTTTCTGGATGTGCCCTGAAATGCACATACGCATTATATTTATTATTAAGTTTTAAATACTTTAAACAAAAGGGATGTTTTGTATAAAAAGTACAAAAGAAAGAAAGGAAGAAAGGAAGGAGGAAAAGGGGAAGGTATAGAAAGATCTTTCCTAAACTTTTCATCCAAAATATCAGTGGCAGGGTGGAAATGAAATGCCAAAAAAGCACAAAATTCTACCTTGTACAATAGACAGGGTTTGGCACTTTAAGTAGGTTTTCTGGGACAACACACAATCTCCTATGATCAAGAAGTATTTTCTTGGCAAAAAGTCAAAAAAAAGATCCTACTTTTGGAGTTAGCATAGACAATAACACAATTTAAAAAGTTTCAAAAGTAGCTTTAAAAATGGTATGTCGTATTCACCAGGGGACGGTTTTCATGCATGGTTCTCTTAGAAACCTCATCACTTAGCTCTGGAGACGAAAAGCATCTTTTTTCACAAACCCTTCCTTGCCAAGGCTGATGCCCACATAGACTGTGAGTCGCCCCATCTTCTCTTACTGAGTATTTTCAGCTGGGATGAGGCACTAGGGTGCCCACCCCTCTGGAAAGTACAGATGACATGTCTTCTCCTGTGAAGCCCAAGGTGTGGGGCCTGGGCCCCGTGGTTTTCAATTCTTTCTAAAAGGTGAGTATTTAATACTACTTTAAGTTTTTAAGTTTGGTTCATTGTTGTCAATTTAGAATGACATCCTATTCAACATCTCTTTAATTTTACACTAATAACAATTATTTAAAAGTTTGATTTGTGGATCATTGTAGAGTATTAAAGAAAATTCTAAAAATGACAATGAAAACAGAGAGATAAGAGCAGGACAATGACATATGAAGAACCTCTTTATAAAATTCATTCCTAGAAAGATGACGCTCTGGTGTAAACACAGGGGGGATGGATTAGGACTCATAGGCGCCCTCCTTCACACCACATCTTCCTCTCTCCAGTGCTGATGGGCCATGTAATGCTAATTAAATGCACGTGTGTAACTAATTTCAGGATTCCAGAATTCAAGGCAGTCTTAACTACCCTTTGGCCCCAAAATAAAATACGTAAGCTGCTAGCCTCTAGAATTCATGGAAGACTGAGAATTGAGCTGTAAAATCATATTTCACAGAAAAATCTAAGTTGACACCCCAGGTTGTAAACGCACTATTACGGTGGGGACAGGTCAGAAAGAGCCCCATTTAATTCATTTGGAAGGACATGATTATTCATTATGAGTACTATGCTCAAGGAAGAGCACAGACAGGGCATAACTTTGAGCTGTCAGGCCTAAAACATGTATAAAACAAATACCCTCACTCTGTTTTACGGCAGAATGGGGCCTGCTAAACCGCATACAAGGTACAAAGCCCAAACGGTGGTTACAGAGGTGCTCTGGCTCAAAGAAATATGATTTACAAAAACCAGTGAAGGAAATTTTCCATATACACATATTATTAAGATACATATCATTAAAGATGCTTTCATTACCAGGATGACTGCAATCCGAAACTCATCTTTATGACATGTCAACTTGACATTTTAACATCGCTATCTTTAAAACATAAGTGACAGGAGAAAGTCAGAGTCACAACTCCATACTCTTTGAAAACTATTTGCAGAAATGGCAATTATCCTGGAAACATTTAAATAATCATGCTTCCCCTATCAAAGCCACATTAAGGATCATTATCTGTTCACGTTCACATAACTAGAACCACTGGCAGGGGGCAGCGGGGACATATCTAGTGAAATGAACACCCTAGTAAAGGTGGGTCATAATAGTCTGTGTTGAACAGTCACCTTCTACAGACAACTGAGAAAGAAAACGGAGCTTACCTTTATGATGGTTTGAACTGGATACAACTTTCCCCCACAAGGTTACAATAAATATTATTATCAGCAGTTTTCCTTTTGTTGCTTTCTGTAAGTATCTCTTACTCATCCTGCAAAAATAAATAAATAAAATCCTAAGTATGTGAAACAACAGGTTTTCCATTATAATGTTGCTACATTGAAAGCTTTGCATGACACTTCAAATGAGTTTAAACTCATTTAAACCCCTGAAAAATGCATTTCTTATATTTAAAATGCTGTTCACTACATATAAATTAGGAAGAGAAACACAATAAAAGGGTTCCAAACCAAGTACTTTCCCAGGATGCAAGAGATAAAAGAGGTTCTCCCTCAGTCAGTCTTCATTCCCTTCACAATAGCTTAAATCAGTTGCGAAGGAGTACTATTTTTCTCTCCATACACATAAACAGAAATTTAACTTATTCACAAAAATCACAGTTATTTGAATCACCTTTAAATAGTGACTTATTTTACTTTCTTTCTAAAGAGTCCTTCCTCAATGCCAAGTCAAACGGTTGGGTTAAACAGTTTAGACAAAATGAGATGAATTTCTACACAGAATACAGTCCCTTAAAATCTATTATTCCTAACATGCTTTTAAAAATCCCCTGGTACAACATCACTACCTCTGAAGGTGCACAGGTGCTTTAATATGGTTGGACTCCACTGTGCCGTACTTATCAGAAGCGGGAGAAAAATGGAAAAGCAGATAGAAAAATACCAAGTTAACATTTTCAAGTGGAGCCCACAAAACTCAGGAAAGCAAGGATACAATAAAATAATAGCTACTTATAATAAAATTCCAAGACCTACTTTCTTTAGCACTTTATAGAATATCATTTCAACTGCTCTTCAGAACAAAGTGGGGCTGTGGGTATAGCTATCCCCATTTCACAGATGATGAAATTTGGAAGTTTGCCTGAGGTACCACTTAACAATTGAATAAAAATTCAAACCCAGAATTGCCTACTACTAAAATCCTTACATTTCTACATTGCTAAGAGGTAAGCAAAGCTGATATAAAATATAATTATTCTACATGTGTGTTCGAGGGAGATAAAAAAATCCGTCCATCACTCAGTGCCTTCTCAGATTCATTCCTGCTTGACCTACAGATTCTTGCCTGGGTTCTGCGCAGGCAAGATCGTAAGGTCACTTGCTGACCTCGTCTGATTGCTCCTCAGCTCTCTAAGTTAGCTTTTCCTCACACCTTCATTTCCAACAATTCCAACTTCAAAAACATGACTCAGTGATAGTAATGATGGCTATACAATTTCAGAAAGGACACTTTCATACTGACAAATGCATGAAAAAATAAATTAGCAGATTATGCATATTTATTATCAATATATGCTAACATTTCTTAGCCCGGAGAAGTTACGCACACTCATGCAAATGTTTATAAAGCAATTTTGTACGATGAAGAATGCAGACTCATTCTTGAGTCTGGCTGTCTGGATTTGAGTCCAAGCTTTACATGCTTCTAATTTGTTGGAAACTGCCCTGCCTCATTTCAGGAGCTGTAAACCCCCCATGGCCAAGGCTGAGTCAGTGACCTTCAGACCATAAGGCACTAAGTAGACTAAGCTTAGCTCCCTGTTCTGCTCCAGTTCTGCTCCTTTTTCCATTACTGGCCTCCAACACTTGATCAGTTAGCCAGTGACAGGTAAGATTCCCCAAAGAGAGAACCTCCTAAGACAGGCATGATCAAATGGAGAACCCAGAAAAGGACTTGGGGGGCTATGGAGAAAGGGGGTGATGGACCCTTGCCCCCCAACTTTGATGAAGCCTGAGCCCTCAGTCTGTCTGTGAGAAGTCTCTGAGAATTCTTTGGCTATCTGCCTCCTCTGCCTGACTTAAGCCTGAAAACAATGACAGAGGGTGGTGCAGCCCTGTGCTGGGAATGGCAGGCTCCCTGGATAATCAGGCCTGAGAAAGGATATGTAAAATCCTGTGAAGCCTGCTTTGCTAAGAATGATCTTAGTTAAATGATAAAGCCTGGGCAGAAAATGAGTTTGTTTTCGCAAAGTTCTGTAGCCTTTTAGCTGATAGACCCTGACTTAGACGAAGCCCTAATAGTTCTTTGTATGCTATCTACTGTTTACTGCCTGACAATGATTAATAAGTTGTACCTGAACTCCTGTGCAGAAAACCCAATAAAAGCCTGTCTAGGCAAGGGTCGGGGCACTCTCCCCTTGAGAGAGTTGCCCGGCTGCTCCAAGGCGCTCTCCTCTTGAGGGAGTAGCCATGCCATCCCTTTCTTTCCACAAGACTTGGTAGTGAATTTGTCTTGATTTTTCCACCCATAATGCTGCAGGCACTGCAGGCCAGTGCACACATCACTAATTGTGTGGTCTTGTATGGGTTTCTGAATCTCCTGCTTCGGTTTCTTCTTCTACAATATGGAATCAAAATGCCTGACCCACAGGTTGCATGTATAAGGAATCAATGACTCTGAGATTAGAGAATGTTCGGTCATTGGGGTGTTATGCTCACCCCTTGAGTGCATGGGAGGACAGTCCATTTACGTGATAAAGGAAGTTTCAGTGGCATCAACAGCTGGAAGTCCTCTGTGGACCTTGCCCTAATGACATGTTGAAACAATGTACAAAGAGGTACCTACCTTGGTACATACCCCTTTGTACATACATAAAAGGTCAAGGTGTGCCTGACCTTCTGGATTAGATTGTTTGGTTTAAAACTAAGCTCCCTGTCCATTGACTATACAACTTTGGACAACTTATTTAAAAACTCAAGAGTATTTTTGTTGTTATTAACATTAGGATAATAATAATGTCTACCTCACAGTATGAAGACTAAATATGGTAATTCATATAAAGGGTTTAACACTATGCCAGAAGATAACAAACGCTGAGCCAAACTGGGATCATAATTTAGTTAGCCAGCACTTCCCCAGGCGTGCCTGGTGAGACACCAGGTCCACAGAATGTTAACAGAGTATTAGTGGAAAACGTCGGGGCAAATATATTTGTAAAATTCTGGGTTCAACAAATTTAATCAGACTTTAACGGGAGGCACATTGAGTTTTGCAAAAAACTTTCTCCCCAGAGTCACACAGGATACTAGTGTCCTCAGGAAGCCTCTTAAGGGAAATAATCCAGTTTAATATCCCCCCTCAGCAGACAAATGCCCACTTGAAATCTTCCATCCTATTGCCTTTGTTTCACTTCAGCTTTCTTCTTACTTGCTTTGCGATGAGACCATTTTTTCCACTTTTTCAACTGCCCTACCTCCCCTTCTGCATGCAATCCCTGCTCCTTCATTGTACTACCTATCATCTAAAAGAAGGAGCAGTTTGGCAAAACTCATCTGACAAGAAGAGCTGCTTAGCATAATTCTTGGTAACAGATTTCCCATAGCAAATGGCCTAAGCTTCAAGGTCAAGGCCATTGTATTTTCCATCTCACTGTGCACCCACCAAATGGGATGACAAAACTGACAGCTGGTCAAACTGGTACCTAGACGTGTGGAAATGGAAGCACCCACAATGTTACCAGGCTGTCAAACTAGAAAAAGAAGCAGAATGAAGGTCAACATTTGGAAGTATCTAAAGACACCTGCCTTCATTGTCTCAAACCAACCCCATCCCCAACCAGCCAACTACCATCTTCTCTTCATACTTCCTCAACCTCTCCTTCTAAATGTAATCACTTCTTGGCATCCTTATGGCAACACTGAAGCTCAGATCACCAATATTTCTCACAGCCACAGCCTCCTAACTGGACTTCCCACCGCCGAAGTTGCTGTCCTCGGGCACTAAAGGCAGGGTCAGTGTCTGCCTTTTTCATGACTATATTTGCAGCATTTAGAACTTTGTAAGCACCTGAAATACTGTTGACTAAATGTAATGCATTCTCTGTGCTGTAGCCAAATATGTAGCTATTATCATGAGATACCATACCCTTCATGAGAGTAAAACCTGCACATGATTCCCTACATTCAGAGTGGGGAAAAGGCCAAAACCCGTAACAAGATATAAAAACCTGTAACATATATATAAGGCCCTGGCTGGTGTGACTCAGTGGATTGAGTGCAGGCCTGCAAACCAAAGGGTCACAGATTTGATTCCCAGTCTAGGGCACATCCCTGGGTTGCAGGCCAAGTTCCCCAGTAGGGGGCGCACAATTGGCAACCATGTTTTGATGTTTTCCTCCCTTTCTTCCTCCCTTCCGCTCTCTAAAAATAAAAACTAAAAAATAAAATAAAATCTTTTTTAAAATCCTGTATCAGGGTCAAAAAATGATTTGACTCATTATGTCTCTGATTTGACTTTATGCCGTTCCTACCCTTCGCTCTGTTCCAACTCTACCGTATGTCCTCAGTGCTTTCCAGCATGTCTCACCCTTGATAGGTGTCAGCCCCCCACCCCATCCCCCATTCACTTTTCGAAATGCTAACTTCTCTTCACTGGTCAGGGGGCAGGTTAGAGTTCCTCCCACAGGATTTGTCCCAAACCATGTTGATCACCCTTCTTCATGCACAATAGCCACTCACCACATGGTGTTATAATTTTCTATTTACTTCTCTCCATTTCCAACTCTAAGATTCATAAAGATAGGGACTGTGCCATCTGGGGTTACTGAGGGCCTCCAAAGTTGAGCTTATTCACTGGTAAATGATTATCTATCTGTGATGCCTTGAAACCGAATATACTGTGTAGTCAATGTGAGGAGAAAAGAGTATGTTTCATTTCTTTAGGGCAGAATTACAAAAGGAAAAACAAGAGGTAGGAAAAGGGAGACAAGAACGGCAAACTGGAAAAGAAAATAAGGGAGAAGTCCAATTTCATGAGTTTTATTCTGATTTTTAAATAGCAATCAAGCTTGAGCAAATTGAAGTATAATGGAGTGATGGAGGATTTTTGAAAAAAGACAGTATCAAAGAAGAAAGCCCAAAGGAAAGAAAGCTGAATGGCGCCTTTTCCTTGACCTTGTGGTGGGGCACGGAAGGAGGGGCTGCACTTCCCATGCAGTATGCTAACCACCAGGTCAGTTCAGAATTTCCCACCACAGTCAAGGGCCCAGTGCACTTTCAGAACTGACACTTTCCTCCACAAAAACAAGAAAAT